GGGGCCCCCACCGCTGCCTCCAAGATAAAACTCCATGTCCTCTTGTGCTCAACAACCAGCTGTGCACCATACTGGCGTGTCAAGTATCCTTCATCCTGACAACTGACAACGGGAACCTCAGCACTGCCGAAGATTGTGTGCTGGAGATTGTGGTTGTCCACGTAGGCCAGAAAGCGTCTCCGCCAACTGAGAAAAGTGTCGGCGGTGCAATTAGGCGGGATTCTAGGCACAGGAGTTCTGACAATTGTACCTCCCAGAGGCAAACCCGGCACCCCAGTACCGCCATCATGACTCACCCCGCCTGGCCACATTGGCCTCACCGGTGCAGATGAAGCCCCTCCAGGAGCAACTAGACCGTCGCCTCCTGAGCTGCTGCCGGCAGGTGCACCCGCAGACCGCCGCTGTGCTGCCCTAAGCTCCTCCGTCTCAGCTTTGGCCTCCTTCGTCTCAGCCTTGGCCTCCTCTATAGCTCGTAGCGCCTCATCCAACCTCGCGCTCAGAGTTACGTCCTCCTCCGTTCCAGACATGTCAAACTAAAACTCTAAACCCTCCCTGCTGTCCCAGCCTCGAAGTGCTGTCCCAGCATTAAACCCTGCTGTCCCGGTCCCCGCAATGGCCACCGCACCTGTTATGCACTGCTGTCCTCGCCCCCTTTGGCCGCGATCCCAGCTATGAAAATGGTGTCCGCTGCCCCGATGGCCCAGCTACCACCGCTCAGACGCCAATACCCACTACCAACACCAGGCCTTACAATATATTGTGTTTGGGTGCGGTAGCTCGTCAGAGGCCGAAAGAGAAAGAAGGTTGACTCAAGACCTTGTTGCTTAGAGAGTAAGAGACATGCGGTAGGCCACACCATCGCCATGCAGCATGTCTGTCAATACATTCCATCCGCGTACCCCCCGGAGGCCCCGTAGACAGTATACTCTGCCGAGCACCCCAAACATCCCCCTCCTCCCCCTCCTCCTCCTCTTTCTCCTTGATCCCCTTTAGTGGGCTCAGTTTAATCTGTTGTCGCGCTGCTTGTCCTCCTACTCCGTTATTGCAGGCATACGCTACGGTGATGTACGATAATTTTACCCCTGAGGTGTCGAGCATTCACGCCATCCTCTCGGTTAACGGAAACGTAAGCGGGGTCTTCCTTTCTTTTCTTCGTGTCGAAAGCATTTCACATTTTCCGTCGAGGCGTAGAATTCTTGCCGCGATTTCGGCTTTCGCAAGGTATTTGTTTTGGGCGCTTTTCGACATGATGCGCGGTATTCGCTGTTGTTATTTGTTGTTAGATTCAGGTAAAGAAACGTGCGAAGATGTACCGAAGGCCGCGAGTTTGTCGAAGAAACGTTCGAAAATGCGTAAACGCCCCCATGCGATCGTTCGTTCGTTCGTTTCCCGATTGTGCGTTTTTGTTACTTCGCGCTCTTCAAGTACCACGCAAGTTGGGGTGCATGGCTTCAATGAAAACCCACCTTCAGGTCAAGAACCTGTGTTTTTGCAGAGAAGTGGATGATGTCAACAGCCACCTGTATATTTCCAGATCAAATAATAACACATTCAAATGGTGCTCCCCGCTCCTATCCCAATCACCACCGACACGGATCCTACTCTACACAAGTCGCCCCCCAGAGCAATTTCAAATGAGGAAATAGCGCGACCCCTCATCCTGATCTGATCCAGGCGGTTCTGCATGTCTTGATTACGGTAAACAGGCAGTCGCCGACCAGACCCACACATCAAGTGACGGTCGGTTCGTGCTCGAGCTCAATGACCTCACCACTTGGATCCTCTACTCGAGCGACGCTTCGCTTGAGCTGGAGTACGAGCCTGCTGTGGACGACACGCCTAGCGTGTGAGTCTGCTCTGCGTCTTTCCTCGTGTTTGCGTACAGCCACGCTTGCTTGTGCTGATCATCTGTCACGGTTGTGACGCCCCTGATGCGGTGAACGTTGCATCATCTCTTTCCCCGTGCCCCTGCCCACCTCAATTTGAGTCCACCCACCGTCGTCGGTGTTTCCATGTGGTCGACAAGCCTGCCTGCAACCATTCCCATTGCCACAGACATGTTTGAACAAAGTACTGGGAGGGACCAAAAAGGGTCCGCCTTGAACGTGCCTACTGCAGAGGCACGCGTAGTGTTTAGCTTCCTCCTCCTCGGACCTGTAGCCTCCCCACCCGGTGCGGTTGATATCCTTATGCTTCCGTGAACAATGCCACGGGGCGTTTAATGCAGGCTGAAAGCAACTCTGCCTATGTCGGGCACCCTGAGGGTGACGCGGGTCCCGTACGAGGAGACCCACTCTCAGTACGACGACGCGGTGTCTCTCTTGGACCAGTACTCCGGATCATATCCGACCAAGGCCAACCTTAGGGTGAGTGACCTACTGTCGCCGCCTCGAGGGGGACACCTACGATGGATCGGTCGGTCGCGTTATTAAGTTCAGTTTTTTGTTTGGCGCTCTAAGCTCGCGATCAATATTTGTCCGTTTGAACCTCACGAAAGCTACTGTAGCCGTAGTTTTGATGTTCACCAAGTTTTTCGCGTTTCCGGGCGCTGTGGTTCATCACTTCGGCTGTGAGGCACATGTTGTACGCCAACGTTTGGTTCTTGCCTAGCGCGTCGGAGTATGGCATGATTTTAATGGTGTATCAATGCCTCTTGCGCCTGCTTGTTCGGGCGTTGTTATGCCAACAAACTCGCCATCGTGATAGTCACTGAAGGGCGCTTCCTCGCCTTCTTCCCGGCGCATGTTTTCGTCCACCACTGTTTTCTTGCACGGGTACAGACGTGGATGCACAAGACCAACACGGACAGAGGAAGGTACCGCATCGATTGGACGACCGCTGGCGACGGATCAGGACTTCTCCACTATGGCCTTCCCCATCACCAGGTATTATCATCTTGATTGGCTTTTTTCTCACGTTTATTGTATTCCCACACCCCGCTAAGGTGAAGGTTTTCATGCGGGCACCCTCCCGTCTTGTGTTGCGTCTTTGGCCCCGTACCGTCTCGAGGACAGACGTACTTCGACCTTCGCACTGACAATGTGTACTGCAGGCAGCCGTGCGAGTGCAAGGAAAACGACAAACAAACTTTGTTGACATCTTCTCGACTTTGTGTGCGCTTCTTTGGCCACGAACCAGAGCAAGGTTCGCAGCAGCACGGCCGAGAGGACGGGGATCTATCTCGCCAGCCCGACAAAGGGAGACATGGAGCTATTCACTGGCACGTCTTGGATTATCGCGGAGAACGAACTGCCCGAGTTCGAGTGGATCCCGAGCATGTCTGGCATCACCGACTCTTTGCAGATGTGAGCCCGTTTGTAACAATTCAGCAACAGGTTGTTACGGGTGGCGTGGCTAACTCTTGTTGTTCGAGCGTGGGGCACTAATCCCGGCGCTAGCTGGTAGGGTCCGAGTTTTCGGAACATGGAATTGGCAAGTGGACACAACGTTGCCGAATAGATTTCCACATTCTTTGTTGGAAACTCGACTCGACTCCAGGTAGTAGGACCATCCATCCATTCTGAGCTCGAGCCCATCATTTGCACGGTGCAATTGACGAGTTTGCCGGTTGAACCATCGGCGCTCCAGATCGTTGGTTCTTCATCGAGAGAATTCCAGCGGGTCATACTTTTCTGAACACACTCGCTCCATGCCGTCAATGCCCCATTCCGTTTCCCGAATGAAGGGCATGGATTACTTACTACCTGGAAGCCGAAATTGCCGTTCCTCTGAACACAGAAGAAGTGGCTGGCGGAAGCGTGTACTTTGGTGCCAAGCACCTGATGGCCTACAGTCAACTTTGTCTCGTGGCCGCAGAGCTCGGGAGGTAAGGGGTTCAGCATCACCGCGCCCCTGCGTCGGGTGCAACTCGAGTCAAACGTTAAGAAGGTCAAATAGTTGGTGACTCGACCATCCTGGGACAAGTAAATTGACATGAGTCATCACCGCCACAATTCGGCCACCCATGTGTAGTTCTGCTTGGTAGGGGCCAAAGACCATGTGACCGCTTCTCGCTTTATTTTTATGTTGTCGCCGGTCTGCGGCAATTCACTGGTCAAAAAGTGATATCGCTTGACATTCGTTGATTGTTCTCACACGCCTTCACTGCTTGCAGGGACGACCTGGTAGAGACTTGTTTGGACCAGGTGGAACAGAACTTCGACGAGTACTTGCAGCACACCAACGGAAACGCTCTTGTCTACGACACGGTAAGCGTGTTGCCGCGTCGTCATATATTAAATGCAGCTGGCGAGGACACTCAATCCTTGTCATTCCATTCTGCAGTGGCCATGCGGCACGGTAGAACAGATAGAACTTGTCGAACTCCATGGAAGGGGTGTTGCCGCTTTTATTTCATATAGGAGCGTGGACGGACAGCTCTTCAGTCGGTGCATCGCCGGTAGTTTGTGAGAACTTCAAACGGATGTTTTGATGCCCCCAAGTGTAATTCAAATCGACATCAATTTGGGCCGATCCGCAAAATTCCACGAGGCCAAACGAGACAGCGTCCACAACCAACAATGTGCTTCGGTCTCTTTCGTGCCTGTAATCCTGTGATGGAAACGTTAACGCTGCTGGGATCACAGGTCTGGGGTGGTGTTATCGGAGGGCAAGGGCTGGAAGAAGACAACGGTGCAGCGGATTTCTACGCGTCCTATTACAACGACCACGTGAGCAAAGAGGGGAAAAGCGCGCGTGCTACCCCAAACATGTGGGCTTAGCAAGATGCAGTGGTGTGCGCATCCACATGTTTGGGTTAGGGCCTCGTAATGTGCAAGCAAGAAACGTGCATGGCGCGTCCGCGAAGGAATAAATAGTGCGTGTTTGTGGATACCTGCCGTTTGCTCCAGTGGAACTACGAGAGGTTCACCCTGGATCGTTTGCCAGCCAACGGCGTTATAACTGTGTCGACTACATGCAAAGACTCGCATGACGACTACGGATCGCGTGATACCTTCACCAGAACTGCCGGTTTCATTTTTTTGTCTTGCCCTTCCCTCCCTCTCTCCCTCGCCTCCTGTTCTACATCCACGGCTCGCAGCACTTCCACTACTCCTACGTAATAAACGTCGCCGCTGTCTTGGCCTACCTTCGTCCGAGCTGGATCGACAACACGAAGGTCGCTTGGGTCAACACCTTGATCCGTGACGTCAACAGCCCCGACCAGGCAAGAAGCGCGGATATGTCAAGGCGTTTCTCTCTCGTTTTTCCATTGGCTATTTGTGTTTCATAGAATTGTAAATTGCATGGTATCCCACATTTTTCTGGTCAAGGATGCGGGCAAGCAGGTTGCGTGGCGAGCACCAATACCTTATTGTCAACAGGATAACACACTGCATCCCTCACGATCCTGGATGGAAAACGGTTGCTCTGCCCCTTTGGCGGCGGTACAGGTGCATGTACTACCTCTCACTTTTCTGTCTCCTTGACCAAAATCTCTTCCCGTATCTTCCCGATTTTCGTCCGTCCCTTCGGCAGTCCGATGCGTACTTCCCTCAGTTCCGTTCGTTCGACTGGTTCAGCGGGCATAGCTGGGCCAGAGGACTCCTCTTTGCCTACGACGGGAAGGATCAGGTTGGCATGGCTCTTTAGTAATTGCTCACGCCGACAACCCGTTGTGTTGCTGCTACAGTGGTGAAGGGCCGTCCTGACCGCTGGACTTTCCAGTACATTTTCCTTCTAGCTGAACCGATCAGAAACACAGTTTCCTGCGCCCACAGAAGTCACTTTGAAAAATAATTCAATCCTTCTGCAATTCACACTCCATGTCATCACCAGGTCCCGATTGTCGAAGGAGCAATCGAGTGGGCAGCATTGAAATTTCAGCAGCTGCTGCTGACAGCGACTGTGGAGGGATATCAATGCCTCGACACTGCCACCGGCAACTTTACATGAATTTGCGCGGTAGCGCGTTTCGCGTGCCTTCCCTACTGATAATCCCAGTTCTGAAGAATGCTGCGACAACGACCATGACGGAGCCCCTTTCTGTCCAGTTGTCATTTGTGCATGGTCAATCTGTTTCGCCGTCACTGTTCTGATACCCGGGGCGTCGGCCCGTATGTGGGTGGTTTTTCGTAATGGTTGTATGCAAGCAATTTGCAGTTCATAATGAACCTTACTTTGCCCCCCAACTCAACCTACGCGGCAGGAATCGACATCCGAAGATGTCAACTTCTACTACGCCATGACCATGTGGGGAATCGCTACGGACAACGCTTTCATCGAGGGGCTGGGCCGGCTGCAGACGGGCGTCGTGAGGAATGCTATCAATGAGTACTTCCTCCTGAAAGACAGCAACCAGAACCACCCTGACGACTTCGTCAAGAACAAGGTAGCGAACCTATGTCAGGCCCAGCATACAATCATGCGAAAACAATAGCATAAACGATGAACGAGAAAGGCAAAGAAAACGAACCAAACGCGGAACACATTAGTACTTGTTGACGAGGCCGTATAATCATTTCTCTTCTGTTTCAGGTGACAGGGATCTTCTTTGAAAGCAAAGTCGACTACACGACGTGGTTCGGTGACAATGTGGAATACATCCATGGGATTCAGGTAAACGAAACGTAGGACTATTCATGTAGTAGGAACACGGTCTTGCGATGATCACGAAAACATTATTTGGACATGAAAAACTGCTTCGACCTTCAGCTACAGTGGTGGTAGCTTGGTGTTAAAAGCAAGAGATTTCTTAGGGTGCCAACATCACAACACAAGGAGCTCCACATATCACTCACATTCACCTATTGTGCACGGCACCTGCTTGGCACAATCGAATATTAGATTGGCCGTCACAAGGCCAACGACAGTTGAAATTGACAACTACTCGTCTTCCTTGCTCCGTTGCCCGTCCCCGCCGTGGCCTGTTGGTCCTACGGCATGCCGGCGGCGAATCACCACAACCGCATTGGTTAGAACATCCCTGTGACGGCGATCACAGAGTTTGTTCGTGACGCCCAGTTCTGCAAGGAAGAGTGGGATCAGGTGCGTTCAAGGCATCCACCATCCGCCTTCATCAGCGAATAGTTGTTCATGTTGATCTCACGGTCGACGTTCTCTCGATGTCGGTGTTGTATTCGTGGAGCTTTGATGCTTGGCGATCTCCGATCTAGCGATGAGATGTGACGTACCATGTACGTACCCCGCCCATGACCGGATACAGTGTACATGAAAAAAGCGACGTGGACTAGGGAAGAATGATATTCTAGAGGGAGGATCTGTAAACAAGAACGTTAACTACGCGGTGTTCAGTTAGTAGTTAGGGGTTGTCACGAAAGAAATAATATGAAACTTGTAATGAGTTCTTACTGTCGGGCTAACTAAATAAAGAATCCATGCCTTCGGAGATCTACTGGCATCTGATACCAGATGTCTTTCCTCGGCGCAATCTTTCTTAAAGTCTCAACGTTGCAACGAGCGGGTGCTCTAATGTTTCATTCATCACTACGTTGAGGTTTGTCAAGTGTTGTGCGTGTCATCGTTGGCGACAGGATGCATGCATCATTCGGGGTACGAAAACGTTCTTTCCCAAGCCTGCACGTTCTCGTGCTTGTGAAAAGGTACTTTTTCTCCAGCCGCGGGAATCCCTCGAAAAACTGCCGCTTTCCCCGACATACTTTTTCGAATCGTGAATATTCATCAAAACGCCACCCACAACAATCAGCAATACCATATGGATGTCATGTTTGATATTGGCCACCCGATGGTTGGCGCAGAGGCTGGAGTCTGCGGTGGAGAGCGCGGAGGGCACGTGGAACACGGTCTTGTACATGAGCTATGCCACCATCCAGAAGAACGAGGCGTTCGAGAAAATGCTGTAAGTGTGCTACCAGTCAGGAACATCATTTTAGGGCAGTTCGTGAGTCCCGAAAGCCTCAAGTGCTTCGCTAACCAATCCAATGACCTCGTAGAGTTACGAGAAAACAAGTTTTCGCGAATGTGCGTCTCGCGGACGTTGTAGATTTGACGCTATCATCTCTTGGAAACAGTGCAAAGTGCATGGGACATGCATGTGATGGTTACAGCTGGGAGCTGGTCAACCTATCTGCACTGCTGCCGCCGTTGTTCCCACCGAAGCTACAGTAGGCCGTTGTCCGGCATCACCACTAAGCATCCTTGGGTACTGACCGCTAACCATGTGGGAGGAAATAATGGATACCAAACCCCTGTGCCGTTTCGACGTGTTGCGTGGTGTTCTCGTGTTACTTGCATTACTTCTACCACTGACGTCCTGTTTAGCACGAGCGGGACTGACTCTGGTCTCAAGCGGACTTGGGCGCTCTACTGGGCTGCCACGAGGCCTGCATGCTCCACCTACTGCTCCCACGATGAGGTTCGCGCGCTTTCGACCGGCGTTTGGCCTTCATTGTGGACTTGTCTGCCCAGTTGCTAGGTGTTACGTAGAGAATAGGGTGCTGGATCGAAATGATGCATATATATTCCGTCACGTTATATATGGTGTAGAACACGATGCTGAAGGGTCAAGCTGCCATTTGTGAGTTCCTTCCAGAACTACATTATCAACCCCTGAACTCAACGATGGACGGGCCAGGCAAGAAGAGAACGCTCGCTACTCGTTTTCGCTACTCATGTACGAAGGATAGTTGCTGGGAACTTGTACTGTTCTAGAACCCTTTCCAAGGCACCGGAGGCATTTACTGGTTCTCAGCTCACGCCCTCGACCAGCTGCCTGTTGCCAAAGCCCTTTTCTTGCATGCGGACTGTAACAAAACTCAGCCAATTCACGCTCTCTTGCCCGAAGTATGCCTAAAGTGCTTCTCCGTGATGTTCCCAGGGGAATGAACGTGATGGACAACGGTTCATCTTCCATGGAGCAAACCCTACAGCCCTCTTCCGTGCTAACTAATATCGCGCGCTGGCCATCATCTGCGCACAAAATTGGACGCAGGTGGACCTTGCCGAACCTCCGATCCCAACACCTGCTCCGGCCGTCCCAACCGGCGCCTTCGAGGGCATCCCTGCTACCATCCCGGGCAGAGTAGAGGGGGAGGAATTTGACTACGGAGGGGAAGGTGTTGGATACTCGGACACGGACGCAGGCAACAACGGAGGAGTGAGTCGGGAGGACGAGATTGTCAGAATGGTGTTTGGGTAAACTAGGTCGGAAGGTTGGAGGTACCAGTGAGTGGAGTGGAACGTTTTAACGGGGAGTGGGTTCCGCGCGGCGATCGCTTAGTCCTTTCGCGTGTCTATGTACCAACACCCCGCTTTCTCGTTGACATGGGTCGTTCAACTTGCCGTAAGCCTATGGCCTCACGTGGCCGTACCTTCCGTCGCCATTGCGAGGCTGTACGCCTTACCTACGCCCGGTGTTCACCCTCTGTTCAACCGAATACTCCGAACAACAGCAATTCCGTACGAGTGAAAACGTGGACATCTCGATCAATGGGGACGGGTACAACGTCGGGTGGATGAGTAGCGGCGAGTACTTGCGGTACACGATCGACGTCACGGAGGATAGTAAGTGATGGCGATGTTTCCGATATCGGTGCACGGCTGCATGCTGGCGACCATGCACGGCCGCTTCCTTGAGTCGGGTTTGCATTGCGGCTTCAAGAGAAGGGACAGCCAAATGTGTAGCACCCGTTCGCGGCAAACCCCCACTCGTCCCTAGAGTAAATGTCGCCGCAGGAAGTTGGTGAGCATATTCCACGATGCGATGCGTCGCTCACGGCTTCAAGAAAGGCAACGACTTTCGCCTGACTGCGTCTACCCCTACCCCCGACTGAATGAATACTCTCTCTGGTCAATGATGACGACATGTAGTCTCGGACTTGGGCTTCAGCTTCTCCGTGTCTAGCCCGTACACCAACGTCGACGAGCGTGGCACCTTTCGTGTCGTGACGGGGGGGGGGGGTTGCGACGACGATGATGCGACGGACCTTAGCGGGCTGGTTACCGCGCCGTACACGGGAGCGTGGGGAAGCTACGAGACCGTGGAAGCGTGAGTCGGCGTACTGCGGTGGTGATCATACGTTGTAGGGCGACGGTGTGGTGTGTAGGCTTGACTGATTTGATTCTGCGTGTTCTCCAAGACTCCACCTTTCCTTATGGGAAGCGGTCCTCGGGAGGTGACTTGGCACTTTGGGTCCTTGCTCAGAGCTATTTCCGTCGTATTTCGGACTACAGCACGAGAAATCAGTTGTAGATGAACTAGGCGACACGCGTCTTCTCACCTTGGAAGAACGCATCTTCCGCCTTCACCACTTCCAAGTCTTCGCGTTCAGCAAAGCACTGCATGGGTGCTCAAGAAGAACCGAAGTTGATCTTTATTGGACTCTGGATTCATATCCCACGGGGAACAATTGCGTGAAATATGCCAACCACACGTCTCGTGTCCTCCGCTTCATCCAATGTGCATACTTGCGTTCATATGGTCGACAAACCGACGACACCAATGCGTAATCCGTCTTTCCTGTACTCGCCGTGCGGCCAATGGTCGAGCCACACACAAAGAAGCCGCCAAGAGAAGAAGAACAAGGCCCTCCCCGCCCCCTTCCGTGGCCTCCGCCCTCGTATCTACTGAAACTTTGTTTGACACCGTTTTTCAGGAATGGAGGTCAATCCCTCGCCACTGGACAGACCGAAATCTGGCTGTGCGTCGTCAGCGCTGGTTTCAACCTCGACTATTTCGACATTGGGGCAGAGACTTTGGTGTTCGCCGACATCTCGGAACATCTATCGTCTGTTGAATCGGCCGAAACGCTTCCTCCAACATCGTCACTGGCGGCGGGGAATACGGGAATGGCCCAAACACCATCCCCAACACCGACTCCATCCGCCGAGGAGGACGCAGCAGTCACAGCGGTTCCTACTTCAACAGGATCGGTTGCGGAGGATATAGGACTGGCCCCAACGATATTCCCAACATCATCTCCTGCCAACGAGGAAGACGTAGAAGTGGCCGTTACAGCGGTTTCCACTTCATCTGGGTCGGTGGCGGAGGATACCGCGGTGATCGACAGCACACCATCCCCCACACCCACCGCGTCGACGACGGTTGTGCCGGGGTCAGCATCGTTCTCAAGATAATCCCCAACATCGGCTCCAACCACGCCAGCTAGCGAAACGGTATCAGACGGTTCAGAATCATCCGCGATGAGGTCGACCCCGACGCCGGCTGCAGCCGTCGAAGCACTTTCGGAAGAATCCGTCTCAACCGCATCCCCGACAACGACTCCTTAAGCAGAATTCGAAGCTACAAGGCCGCCATCACACCCGACGCAATCCGAAACCATAACGATCGTCCGGACTTTACTGTTTGACCTATATTAGTCAACCAGCACTGGATTTTGTTTGGGGTCCAATACACGACTTCATACCAATATAATAAGTCATTTAGTGTTACACCGAAGATTCAATCTACACGCGGATTGTTCGAACCACGGTTTTTTCATCTCTCGTTGATGTACTACGTCCTTCACACCAATGAGATATAAATGGAGAGGGGTTTATACCTTCTGTACAGTAGGTATGAATCGGGCGGTACTCCCGATATTATGTTGTTACATGTCTTGTGTCCCTCTTAAGAAGCGAGAGGATACGCATGATGGTGCAGTTTACAAAGATCTGCAGGTGGTGAAAGTAAGAAGGTTGCCGTGGTTCTTCTATTCGTGTTCGAGCCACGTAAAACTGAGAGTACCTGTTGGAGCTGATCTGGTCCGTGTGACTCCTCTTGTTCGTTCCGGGTTGATTGTCTTCCAGAATTCTGCGAGCAGTTCGCAAATCTAGCACTTTCGAATGAATGTGTCTGCTAGTAGGTCCCAACTAGTCTAGACTACGTAGATGTATGCGCCGTCGCTTTCCGTCCTTGTGTGTTTTCTCAAATGCTTGTTGTTGGTCTGTGTGTTCTTGGATAACAGACACTGGTTCTGTTCATTTCATTATATTATATGGGGGCGTTCACTGTAAGTGGTGTTATGTTCACACACCAAAATGCCCCGCGCTCAACCATCGCTCGTTGCCGTGGGGGGGGAGGGAGTGAACACGGGTAGGCGAGCGGATGCCGTGGGCGCTAGAAGTACATGAAGGCACATGAATCAGGGTTGCTTTTCATCGATGCTGAGTAGAGGATCGCATAGACGTCGACCAGTACGGAACTCGTCTACGATTCATTCCCTTGCTTTCCTTTCGCTATAGCACATGCGGTTGTTAGGTAACACTCTTCCGGTTTCGGGTGCACACAAACATTGCACAGATAGGACAGATGAGATGACGGCAGATCGGCGCTTTCGCAGGGTGGTACATCCGTTGTGATCGTTAGGACATGTCTTTGGTGATCCGTGTATGTTCGGATGGTGGTCTGTGAATCATTTGTAAACTAGTCTACTGCCCGTAGCTGATTATTACATGTCTTATGCGTGTAGAAGGTGCGAGGTGTAACGGAATATTTTCAAGCATTGTTTTCAGCGTCACAGTAGTGCACAGATGACAGTACTATTGAGGACGAAAAAGCGGGAGTGCCGCAAGAAGAAAACAGACTTTCGCAAACGATTGGAATGCAATACATCGCGCATCGCTGTACGGATGTATAGTCAGCCTAGACGCTAAAAGTCGTCGTTTGGACGAACATCAGTTTGACCGTTGCCAAGCGCCTCATGTTTTTCGTACCCTACGTCTTGAAGGCAGATGGTGTGGGAGATGTACGATTCACAGCCTCATGCTCGTTCCTAGAAGGTACAACGGATATAGCGGTAGCTAGGCCATGTTGGTCGCCCCGGTGGTCTAGTTGGTATCCTCGAAACCTTCTAGAGGACAGGGCAGGGGTTCGACTCCCGGCGTCAGCGAGCTTTCCTTGCACAGTGAGTTTTGCTCTCGCTTCCGGTCCTGGCCTGGTGGAAAGCGCTAGTTCTTGTGTACACAGAGGGAAGAGAGTGCTGAACTCTTCTCACATGAAAACTCCAAGGCAACGTACAGCAGGAGGGGAAGGTAGAGAGGGGCCCTTCTGTGTGACCACGGGTTGAAGTAAACGGCACTACAGTAGAGCTGTGAGCGCTGATTTGAAGTGAAGAAGAAAAAAAAGAGTTTTGCATGACCGGGGAGACGCCACCTTTCGATGGAGTGAACGTGAAACTTTATTGGAGAGCAACGGCGGAGGTTGTCACGCAGACTCCACGCTGGCGTTCGAACAGCGGGAGACCCCCGCAAAGACAACTGTTGTCTCGGACCCGCGAACATGACGCAGGCAGGTCTGGACGAACGACTTCTGCCTAACATTTGAGAAAACAATGATCAAACGGTGTCGTAACTCACTCCGGAACGCGGTGCTCGTAGATCTTGGGGGGTGAGTACTGCTGTTGGCAGTGTGAGACAGCCTACAATAAGAGACAATGGCTGCAACATGGAAATCGCCGTCCATGGCCAGTAGAACTCGATCCCCCCCTCAATGAACAACGACAGGACTGAGTAAAAACTCACGGAACTGAAGTAGAGGGTGTGAACGATAGCTTTGCGTACTATCCGAGTTCTAAGTGGTTCACCCCACTGGAGTCACCGCCCCCTTTGTTCAGTCTACCGATGGCAATGCTTTCCTATTTATGACGAGACGAATCAACACATTGGGTGGGCACCAAGGCATTCCGGGAATGCCAAACATGAAACCTGATAACGTTGCCATCTGCTGGAGGTCAGGCGATCCATTCTCGGTATGAATATTCTTCTGTATACTATATCCTGTTGAAAATCACTCTCTTTCTGCTTTGTACGTCTCGCCGTAGCGACGGGAAGCCTGACACCATGCCTATTGCGATGCCGGCTCTCATCGCAGCTGGCTGCTTCGCCTGGTACGTGGACTCAGAGTGCTTCGAATGCTATATACCATGTTGAGGTCGTATATCTTTGACCGCCGAAACGAAGCACTCAACGCCAGAGAAAACAGTGTGTAAAAACCCGGAATTGAACAGAACACACACTGGCAATGTGCTGAACTGCAGAACGGCAGAACTGCAAATAATTCCGGCCCTATGCATATGATCCAATATGATATGTTGCAACACCAGCAATGTGAGAAACTGCAAATAGCTCCGCCCCAGCCCATAATGGTGGTCGAGTAGATCATGTTGTGCGGGGTGGAGAACCCTCGCTCCGCGCAAGGGGGATGATCGCACCACGTTGTGT